ATACGTTTTTTGATTTAACGCGTTTGGTATTCCAGAAAAACCCAAAACTGAGGTTTTCTGATAATGTCAATGACAGCGATGTGTTCGTGGTAGCCACAAGGATACTATACATTTCAGTCAATGTATTGAGTGAACTTTATGCTTTCACTATCTTCTATTTTATTTATTTTTTTGAAACTTTATTGACTTGAATCATATCAATGTCACGGTCTTGTTTCTATTAAAAGAAAGCGGTGTGAAATTGAGACTTAAACAACTTACGTGAAGATGAAGCTTACTAGTGTAGATAAACGCCCTAAAGTAGTTGGTGGGTCTAAATCAAAGCACGGAAATTCATATTAAAAAGTTTAACGCGCATTACTAAATAATTAACTTGTAAACGCAAAGATTCTTGTCGGTGTAATCTTAGATAACAATATACACAAGCCTTTTTATATATATATATATATATATATATATATATATATTATATATATATATATATATATATATATATATATATTATATATATATATATATATATATATAGTGTTAGGTTCATGTGAAACCGCCTAATTTTGTGAGACCGTGAGATGCATTTTTTTTATTTTTTTTATTTTTTTTTATTTTTTATTTTTTTTAGTTAATTCAAGTTCCGAAAATAATATTTAAAAAATGAATTTTTTTATTTTTCCATTTATTTTGCATTTTAAAATTATTTTTAGAATATATGTACAGTGTAATATTCTATTTAGAATATTTCACGTATTTTTAAAAAAAATAGGATTTTATTTTTATTTTTTTTATTTTTTTTAGTTAATTCAAGTTCCAAAAATAATATTTAAAAAAAGAATTTTTAGATTTTTCCATTTATTTTTCATTTCAAAATTATTTTTTAGAATATATCAGTGTAATATTCTATTTAGAATATTTCACGTATTTTTCAAAAAAAAAAAAAAAAAACGGGATTTTTTATTTTATTTTATTTTATTTTATTTTTATTTTATATTAATTTTTTTTAGTTAATTCAAGTTCCGAAAATAATATTTAAAAAAAAAGAATTTTGGATTTTTCCATTTATCTTGCATTTTATAATTATTTCTAGATTTTGTCTCACGGTCTCACAAAATTAGCATGGTCTCAAATGAACCTGAACATATATATATATATATATATATATATATATATATATATATATATATATATATATATATATATATATATATATAGAGAGAGAGAGCTAGGTTCATTTATTAAAATTAATTATTGTGTTATTGTATGCATAAATATGGGCCAATCAAATTTTAAAATAAAAATAAATAATTAAATTAATAAATAAGGGTATATAGGTAATTTGATAATTAGTTTCCACAAATAATATCCTATAATTATGGTAATTTTGTTATTAATCACGTATATTTATAGACAATAATTTTAAGGTTTCAATTTTCCAATTGACTTCTACCCAGAGCCAAGATCAAAATCCCGATTTCTCGATTAGTCACTCCACTTCGTGACCAACACCTCAGATCGGTCACAACAATTGACACAAGAAACTACACCAGTACATGAAGAAGATGCAACTAACGAAGAAGAAGAAGAGGAAATAGAATCATATTCAGAACCACCTGAAGAGGCAAAGCTTTTTGTCGGTAACTTACCCAAAGTAGAGGTGTCTAGTTTTAGGTTATATACAACAGGGATACAAAACAAAGTAGAGGCTTTGGGTTTGTGACAATGAGCACAGTAGAAGAAGTTGAGAAAGCTGTGGAGAAGTTCAATGGTTATGTAAACTTAATCTTCTTCTCCATCTATCCATCTTAATTACTACATATTCACATTAATCTGTAATATTTGTTATGAACAAAAACAGGATTTGGGTGTAGATTTTTTGAACACGTGAAACTTATAAGTGATGCTTTGTATTAAGATGGTGCGTTGTACAATAGTAAACATAAGGTAAACCCTAATATACAAGGGTTAACTAAGTTGAGCGGTTTGACTTGTTAACTTTATTTAACTTTGATTTAACCAGAAATTGACGGTTGTCACACTGATTCTATTAATCAAGATCCAAGAAGACCTAACTTTTCAACCATGCCAAAATTTGTTGAGTTGAACAATAGGGAACCGACATGACATAGTTCATTCATAACCATAATTCCAGACTTGAATGTAATTTCATACCTGAATGAAATTTAAGACTTGAAAGAAGAGCCAGACTTAAATGAAATTCCAGACTTGAAGGAAGAGCCTCAATCATGTTACAATCATCGACTAATAGATGAAATTGAAGTGATGTTTCATCCTTATATCACACATATACAAGATGTAGAGGGAGATGGAAACTGTGGATTTCGAAACTATGGATTTCGAGCAATATCTGTTTGTCTTAGGTATGACGAGAATGACTGGCTCTATGTTCGACGTCAACTACTAGATGAGTTATTGAGTTCGTACGATGTATATGCTAGAGTTTTCACTAATGGAATCGGTGAACTATATACTTCGTTGAGTTTCTTAGAATCACCGACATCTAAAAAATACTGGTTACTTATGCCTGGAAATGTATACTTATTGCGAACAGATTTGGTGTAGTCCTTACCTTTTTAACCAACCAAGCCTGTCTCACTTTCTTTCCTCTTTGGAAAGGTTCAGAAGAATTTTTGTACCATCGCGTTATTACGATTTCACTTGTATATGGTAATCATTATGTGATGGTAAAATTAGAATGAGATTGCCCACTGCCTACCATTTTAGGTTTTTGGATTCGCCATAAAGCCACATGTGCAATTGGATGGGAAACTATGTTCATGTCACATCTGGAACTTTATAGACAACTAAAACGTTACAATCCTGAAACACCTTTATAATTATAGAGGATTGTTAGCGGGTATTAATTTTCTCTTGAATTATGCATTTATGTATTCATGAAGATTGCTAATGTTATTGTTTTCTACATCATATTCTTGTTTTTATGTATTCATTTATATTTAGTTATTAAATAATATACACATGTATATGTTATTAATCTATATTAATTATAATAATAAATAATTAATCATTTATATTTAATTATTAAATATATAAATATATATTTATTTTTCAATTAGTTATTTTAAATTATTTTAGATTTTTTATTTTGTTATTCTAATAAAAACAAGATTACTCCTTATTGCAAATAAAACATTTTATTATTTGATTGCTGAAATAACATGACAAAATATATATTCCAAAAAAAATATTAATATTCAATGAAAAACAAAATAAAAATAAAAAGAAAGGCACGTGAATTAAAGAAAAACAAAAAATTTGGGTATACAAACTTCAATGTAAAAAAAACATTGTTAACTTTTTTATTAGGGTGTTTTTTTTTGTATAGGTTGTGTTTCTAGTAACGGGGGTGTTTATTTAGCTATATATGTGAGTGTTGTTAATAAGACACCCGTTGTACACCCTACTAACCATTTTTTAAAAAGTCAATCTATAGTTAACTACTTATAATCAATTTTTTCAGAAAACAATGTAATTTTAACCAATAAAAATATTTCAAAACTAAATTAGGGTGTCTATATGGTAAAATGGTTGAGAAAGAACGAATAAATTTGGGTCACTCATTTCGAATTTTCCGTTTAAGCGCTTCAACGTACCGGGCCGACGGAACAGATCCTATTCATTTATGAATACGCATGAATAGTGTATTCATATATAAATAAGTATATAAAAAGTGATTATTCATATAAGAATATGGTGACGGTGAGCGGTGGCAGGGGTGGCGGTTGTTGGTGGTTGTCGGTTGTAGAGGTGGTGATGGTGACGGAGATAATGATTATGGTTAGTGGCGGCGATGGTGGTGGTTGGTGGCGGACGGGAGGTGATATATGCATATATGAATACCAGTTATATTTATATTCATATATGAATAATACTCATCCTCCGTCGGCCTGATACGCCGAAGAGTTTTGCAGCAAAAGTAAATGATTGACTTATTTATTTCCAACTTTATATATATATATAATATATATATATTATATATATATATATATATATATATATATATATATAATATATATATATATATATATATATATTGATTTGAGACCATGTTAATTTTGAAACA